AAAAAAAAAAATTATCCCGAAACTAAAACACACCAATGCAACCTATTTAACTTGTCCTGAAGTACTAACCTGGGTGGAGTAAGAAAGGCAAATAACTCGGACACTATAGTTGCAGGATATGGGTTTTTTGGTGGTAAAACTGGCTGCAAGAAATTTCTGTTCCCTTGTTCATGTGAGTGTATGCCACAATTTTCTGTGTCGGCATTTCTCCTGAAGCAGCTATAGAGCAGGAGTACTGTAAACCAGCTCACTGAAAAGAGGAGAGTGGCTTTCTGGTCCTAGCACTCATCTTTGTAACAGGGCTCATGATGAGCCGGTTTGGGCAGTTAAAGGAGCAGAAAACTTTACAGTTTGAAAAGGTGAATAGTTTTCTGCCAGTTCAGATCTCTGAACACTTTTGTCACAGGCTGAGTGCCAATGTTGGGGAAAGAACAAGTCAACACTTCATGACCCCAAGTCAGCTTAAAGTTGTTGAGAAGCAACAGCATTAGTAGATCTCATTTGGGAAATAATATGAACAAATGTAAAACCATTCATCAAGGCAAATGCTGTGTTATGTTGTTTTAGGCTAAAGTTCTAGAGAAGAAGGTGAGAAATACGTTTCATTGGGCTTATTGTTTGTGCTAGCACGTATAGGAGTTTAGTACTTTGCTGTTCAAATGACTTCTTTTTGTTTTGTTTTTTTTTTAGAGGAGGGAGGGGGGAAGCTTACTGGTTGGGTTTTTTGATTCCTGTCCAGTTTGCCATGCAGTCACATGAATGCCTGTTCCAGCATGAAGGAAGAGAGGTAAGTATGAGTTCAGGAAGAAGGTGTCCCTTCAAGGCAGCCCAGACTTACCTGGGCCAGTGACTGTGGAGCGCCCTTTTTCTTGGGAGGAGATGTGCAGCTGTAGAATTACTTAAAGCTGTTGTGATGAAACACCGGTATCTGCTCGCACACCTTTTTGATGGTTATTTTCCAGCCTGGTCCATGCCTGATCTAGTTCAAAAGTTTGTTTTGCCTGAACATAATGGTTTATTTTGTTAGTAACAGTGTAGAAGCAGAGACAAGATAGGGATGGGGGCGAGGCAGCAGTGGTAGCACCAGAAACTTTGTGCTAGAAATTATTTGTGTAAACTATAATTCTAAAGTTCTTTTGCTTGTAGCCTGTTAGTGGATGTTACTGTATTTGAAAGAAAGTGTACCTTATTTTGTGTGAACTGCCTGCAACCACAAAAACATTTTTTTAATCTGGACTATTATATATGGCTTTTTTTCTTTTTGGTTTGTTTTTTTGTTTGTTTTGTTTTGCTTTGCTGCTAATCCAGCCATTGCATTGGTGTACTGCAGCTGACAGGGCTGACCTGATCAAGAGTATTCATGCGATGATGCTCAGAGCTATTTCTGTTCCCATCCTCGCACTGTAGGTCTCTCACTGCGGTGATAATGCTTAGTGCTATTATTAGAGTACCACTCCTGTAAGGCTTTTGTAGACAGTAGCTGTGATTAGCGTGACTCTGAAAATTCATCTTTTACTTAAAAATATGTGTTCCGGGTACCTTTGTTTAACAGAGGAGAGAGTAATCTTACAGCATTGGTTATGAGATCTTTATTTTAGAAAAGGAAAAAGTAGCTGGTATGGAAGCAGCAGAAAATGGTTTGAAATACCTTTTTTTCTTTTACACTGAGAATGGTAGGGTATACCTAGAGTAGTCTTCCCATGTTTTCTTCCATGCTTGTTGTGCTTGTTCTCTTCCTGTGCGTAAGAAGCAGCTAATAATTGACTAAACCTTTGCACTGTCTTTGCCCTTTCACCAGCCCTCGCTGCTTACTTTCAAGTCACCGTGAGGCTTCTGGAGTTGCTCCTGACCAGGAAGATAAAAGGCTACTTCTGTCTTACCCTCTGCATGTTACTGAGTTCTTTCTTGCCTCTTTCATAAGGTAGAGGATAGGATTATCTTAGATTAATCCATTCACTAACTCAAAAAGCACTTGCCATAAAGTATCGGTGTGTTTTTACTATTGCTGCCTTCAAATCCACAATTTAGCAAATATTGTATCTGCTTAAAATAGAGCACTTAAAAGTTAGCAAGTATAATATCCACTTGAAACGGACACATTTGAGTGACTCTTTACAACTGTGTAAGGACTCTCATCAGGCCATCTTTACACTCATAAGTATAAATCTTTGCTTCAGATGGTAGATAGATATTCTAGAGCGAGTATAGAACTGCAGCACAGAATAGTTACATGACTACACAGTAAATCAACTGGAGAGTTGTGAATGACTTCTTCCTCTGAAGTTCTTTCCCCGTCTTGTAACTATCAAATGTGGTTTTTCCCCCTTTATCAGCTTTTAGTGGTTGTATGTGTAATCCTCCAAAACTTTCATTTTTATTTCTGTTTCTCCTCCAACATGCTCATTGTGGTAATAATGCACAGAACACCAGGGAAGTGACCCGGTTTGCTGCTGCTCATCTGTCTGGGATCTCAAGCAAACATGTGGTTATAGAGTGAGGGGCAGGGAAGAGCTATGTCAGTTACTGTATGTAGCTATGTGTTTGTGGTTTGCTTTTGTTGCTTGTTTTTAGGAGAGTCAATGAGTAATGTTCTTATTCAATTTTTTATTATTAGGTTTATATTTTTGCAAAATAAATGCATTTTAGATACTCAGTGAATTGTTAATGAAGTGTTGATGATGGCTGCTAGAAAGATTTATTTTATTTTATTTCTTTCTGCCCTCCAGATTTCCTGTTTTTCTGGGGAGCTGTCTTTTTAATTACCACTACACTGGTTGCCCTTTTGAAAAAGGAAAACAAGGAACTAACACCAACAAAAGAAGAAACAAAAGGCATCACTGATACATACAGGCTGCTATTCTCAATAATCAAGATGCCAGCAGTTCTTACTTTCTGTCTCTTGATTCTCACGGCAAAAGTAAGTAAATACACATATGAATTGTTAGGTGCTGGTGATATCAGAGTCTGAAAGGTTGCCGAGTCCCTCTGATGTAACTTATTTCTTAGTTTTGCTAGTGGCTGTCATCAGAATTCTGAATTTTCACATGAAATTTGAAACAGAATTCCTTATATCATCGTGCTAAGCAGGGTTGTACAGTGGAAAACATTTGTCTGTGCTTTTGTAAGTGTTCACACAAGCATTAAAGAGAAGTTTGCAGTCTAATATTAAAGAAATTTGGTTTTAAAACACTTTTAAACAGTTAGGCTGTTTGTGTAGTCTGCAGTTAAAAGGCCAGAAAATGTTTCTTTTAACATAAATACTATTCCCAGAATCTGCAACTCTGTACACACTAGGTTTCCATGGCTTCTTGTTGGCCATCATGGACACCAGCAGCAGTTAAGGCATGGGCATGAATGTCATTGCTATGTTTAATGTTCATGGTATAGTTTTGGTGCTGATGACAAAAAGAGTCTGCAAGCGTAGAACATGTCTCAGAACTTATTTGGAAAACAAATCAGAGATAGAAGTGACTTGAACACATTTCTCAATTTACTTAATACTGAGTAAACTGAATTTGTAGGGAAACTATCGCTGCTTTCCTCAGTTTATTTTGTCTAACTTACATTGCAGGTTGGATTTTCAGCAGCAGATGCTGTAACAGGACTCAAATTGGTGGAAGAGGGAGTCCCGAAAGAGCACTTAGCTCTGCTGGCAGTTCCAATGGTTCCTTTACAGATAATATTGCCTCTGATTATCAGCAAATACACAGCAGGCCCCCAGCCACTGAACACATTTTACAAAGCTATGCCTTTCAGGTAAAACCAAACAAATCTCATTTCATAGAAACGTAGTATTTTGAGTCTTCAGAACAAGTGTAGGATTTCTTGTGTCACTCTCTAACTTCCAGATATGAGAACGTAAGACAGAATTCTCACAGTAAGTTGAACTCTGTCTTGTTCCTCGAAGATGGTTCATATAGTATCACATGTAAGAAAGCAAGCAGAACATGAGGTGTTTTTAAGAGGCATCTACAACAGCATTAAAGCAGTACCCTTCTGCTCTTATTCAGTGTCGATAGCTCCTTATTCATGAATCTCTCTGACTAGATCTGAGACTGTATCTGTAAAACTATGTGTGCTTCCCAATGTAAGAGTGGCAGAACGCATTGACAAGTCATTTGATGCATCTGGTGGATGTATGATTTACTGAGGTAACTGAGAGGAAAAGGAGCTGAGTTAGGCTGATACAGACAAGGAGACAGTTCATTTCTGTGTTAAGTGTTTTATATAGGAGTTTCCTTATGGAATTCTACAGGCAATGAATCCAGCAAATTACCTAATGCCATTACTCAGTAAATCATGTAATGTGTCTGTGATGGGTAGCCGTTAACTTTAACATGTTCTTACCCAACTATGTACGTTTTTGCCAAAAAAAAAAAAAAAATCAAAAAAAAAAGGAGGTGGGTAGATCTTGCTCCAGCTGAATTTGGTTGGGTATCTTCTATGTTGCTTTCTACAACAATAAATTTCTGTGTGAAGTGACAGAGAAAGCTAGTATAGGACATCTGGCAGTGAATTATGTTTATATGGAAGACAGAATTGTTTAGGTATAAAATGTTTACAATTTCAGTGCTTGTCAAATATTTAATATCTAATTCTATCTTAGAGTCATAACTATTTAGATATAAACTATTTTAATGTATTCTGTATGTATAAATATTCAATAGTTGCTTTGTATCAAGGAAACACACACGGAGAATTATTTGAATTACGAATTATCTTTCTTATTCCTCCAGATTACTGCTCGGTCTGGAATTTGCTTTTTTGGTATGGTGGACTCCTAAAGTAAAACATGAAGGAGGATTTCCTGTCTACTACTATGTTGTAGTATTGTTGAGTTACGCTTTACATCAGGTAACATACACTGTATGTGGGAAGGGGAGGGGGTCAGGAGGGCATTTCGTATCAGTCAACTAGAGGATTATAACTGCCGTTATCTGCTTTCGTCCTTAGTTACACTAGAATTCCTGTAAGTCTGACCTGTGTGCTGTATGGCTATATTTCCTTTCGATACTCTTGCCACAATTATTTCTCCCTCTTCCGTGTGCTACATTGGACATCTTCTGTGGAGTTACTTTTAGTTGAGCAGATCTGCTTTTGCTTCCCAGATTCCACCCCCCCGCCCCTAAACCCAGAAGCTCAAAAGCATGGTGGAGTTGGAGAAATCCCAGCATTCTGACTGAGTTTCACAGGCATGATGATGATCGTGCTTATTGTGCAGATCCATAAAGTTATGTGATCCTGGTCCTAGAAAAAATGCTTTATTGATTTTGGAGGAACATCATAATGCATCTGATCCGAAGGCCTGGAAAACAAACACCTGATACACACTGGGCTTTGGATCAGAACTAAAACGTATGCAATGCATTTAAAAATCAACTCTCAAGGCAAAAGTGTTATTTTTATATGCTATTTTAGCTGGCCTTATTATACTGCGGTTTGAAAACCTGAGTCATTCCAGTACATGTGAGGCTGGCTCCCTTTCAGCGTGACTTCAGACAAGTGGCAAGGCTACATCTTGCTGTTAGTAGAGAGCCAGACTGCAGAACTAATTTCCCTCTTGTGCAATTTTTAAGCTGTTGGGATTATTTTTCAGTCAATGTTGCTAACTTAAAGTAATCTCTTAGAACAGTTTTTATGTTAGGGTTTTTAGTTGTCATTGTCTGTAACTGGGGAGACCTTATTGTCCTGTGTGTTTTCTTACCTCTTCTGTAGATCACGCTGTATAGCATGTATGTTGCAATAATGGCTTTCAATGCCAAAGTCAGCGATCCGCTGATTGGAGGAACCTACATGACACTTCTAAATACTGTGTCAAACCTGGGGGGGAACTGGCCTTCCACCGTTGCACTCTGGCTTGTGGATCCACTCACAGTGAAAGAGTGTGCAGGGGCCCGGGAACAGACCTGTGGAACTACAGGTGCTGCAGAAGTAAGTTTTGGAGGCTGTGAAAGTCCCTGTTCAATCATTTCTCAATGAAATTGCTTCTCTTAGTATATTTTTGCCTTTGAAAACCTTCATAGTGCATAGCTTTTGCTTAGAAATTCCCACTGATCGAGCTAATTTTCCTGTCTGATAAAATTAAGTCTGTTTTTATCTGTACACTTTTAATAGCTAACATCTTATCAAAGATTTGCAGTTGCAGAGTAGTTGTCCATTTCTTCCTGGGCTGGGATGAAAAGCTGGTGATAGAAGCACTAGATTGGTGCCACGTTCTCTGCGGTGTAAGGAGGCTGTAGTTACATTTTTGAGAGGATACCTTGCTAAGTTCAGAGTTGTGTAATGAGGCGCTCTGTTCTTGACAGGCTGGCTGTCCCCCAGGTTCCTTAAGTTTTGTGGTAGGTTTTTGTTCCTTCTGTCTTTCTGGAGGCTTCCTATCTGGATACCTTGCTACCTTCTCCTGTGATGTTACTTTGCTCTCTGTCTTTGATCTTCACTTTCCATGTGAAACTGAGTGGTGTGACTGGCTCCCTTTGCAGTTCTGGGGAGCCCTGTGGAAGAGAACAAAGAACATGCTGTGCTACTGTACACAGATCAAACAACAGGACGCAAAACTGCCTGGAAAGCAAGGTTTCAAATTCACCTCCTCATGAGAAAATGAGAAATTTTAGCGTGACTCTTTGGAAGGGTGGAAATGTTTTGGCAGTTTTTGTTGTCCTTTTGAACGCGAGGACTCTTTGGGATGTGGAGGTTCTCTACATAAACAAAGTGTTCTAGGAGTCAAACATGACTTGTTTGGACTGGAGTTGTAGTTTTTACTAGTTGCAGAGGTGAAACTGCTTCCACAGTGGGTGCTTTTTCAGCTTGTGTCTCATTAGCTTGCCACCACTTGGGTTCCCTGTGCCTGGGCCTCTACTGAACTTAAGTCCTTCCTCCTTCACCTCACTCCTCTGATCTTTTTTCACATCCTCCCTGTTGGTGGTATTCCACCACCACTCCCTTCTTATTCCTAATCCAATCTTGACATGTCTCAGAATAACAAAAATGCTGGCAGAACCTCATCTCAGAGGATTGATTTATCTTGGGATTATTGCAGTATTGAAAGATTAACAATAGCAGATCATGTGTTTTAAATGCTGGAGTTTTTGTCTTCCAGTTCTGCAATTAAAAAATATCCTGGGCTTGTTTTTCCCAGAAATGCGCAGCATTTTGTGCTGTCTATTTGCAGATCCAGTGTGGTGAGATGCAAGGGTATAATTTCTAAAGAAGCAGTTTGGATGGCTAGGAAAAAAAATTTTTTTTTTTCTTCATGGGATTCAGAACAGTGATTGCACCTCCAGGCCAGCATGAGACAGCTGGGCCCTTTCTGTTTTCTAGAGTTAGCCCCTTGGGCCAAGATGCTCCATTTCCCAAATGTTTTATGACAGTTTTATTACTTTTCATACTGATGGTAAGCTCAAAAGCCTCTCTTACTAACTCCATAAGAAACAAGGAAGAGTAAACAAATATATTTTGTCATAACCAAGAGCAAGTAAAAAACAGTGGATATCTAATGCCTACTTTCTAAAAGGCTGTGTTTCTGTATCTCCAGAGAATACTTAATGCATCAACTTCTGCTTCTCTGTTTCAGCTCTGCACAAAAGCTGGTGGTTCCTGTGTTACTACCTTGGATGGTTACTATGTGGAATCTGTCATTTGTGTCATTCTGGGATTTGGCTGGTGGTTCCTACTTGGGCCAAAATTTAAAAAGCTTCAGGACGAAGGACAGACTTCGTGGAAGTGCAAGAGGACCAACTGATGCAGTTTAAATATTGAATGGACTGGCAAGGTCATTTTAGTTTTATTACAAAAACATATCCCATAACAAATAAACAGGAATATAGGTACTTTTAAATGCCACATCACTGGAAAAATGGGTGGCAGAGGCAGTGGTATGTTTGTATGTGATACCACTTGCCCTCCCAATATGAAAATGTAAGTTCAGAAAGTAAAAAATGGCACCTATGTACTACATACATATCCCAGAGCTCTAGCTTCAGTCATGGCTGCTGGTATAACCCACGTCTGAATTTCTATACAGTAACTATGGAAAAGCTAATTGTGCCATGTCTGTCTAAACAGCAGCATTGTCAGCTAAGTTCCAGCTCTTTATTTTCAAACAGAAGTGATCTGACACAGGGAATTGACCCGGGGAAGGATGTCAAAGGCATTGTGACTTGTAGGTTAAGAGTGTTGTCCTATGGAATTCCTTGTGGGAAGATAAACATAAAATGTCTGTCGGCTTTGTTTCTTCTCACTTTCTGAACTGTAATCACACCTCAAAGGATGAAATGTTTCAGAGATTCTTTTAAATGTATTTTCTGGCTTTTATAAGCTTTAAAGATTTATAAGAAAATATTTTTATAAACAAATTACACTTGTTTAATTTATTTCCGCTGTTTCAAAGCATTTTGATTTACATTCAAGGTACTTTCTTGATGAAAAATTGCTGTAAGGTAGGACTTAGGAGTAACGCACAATATTCTAAGCCTTGAGTCCTGAAGATGTAAACTGGATAGTGTAGCAGCTAGCGCACAAAAGACAGGCTTCAAAAGGAGAGGGCATGCAGACCTTTGGATAGCAGTTGTTATTGAGGGAATGAATTGATAGTGTTGGTTCCTCTATGTCACTAAAATTCAAGCATTCGGTTTGAAAATCAGTGGAAAAAATGTGGCTGTTCCCAGCTAGGGGTAAGAAAAGATGATCAGTGCCTTTGAAAGTGATTTGGTGATGACAAACTTGCCAAATTCCCAGCGAGTTGATGTACGACTTGCTGTCCCATAAATCAAACAAGTTAAAACCCTGTGGTAGAGCTGCTACAGAAATTTGTTACTGATGCTGTGTAGTGGAAACATTCCAGTTGCATTTATTGAAAATGACTTCCCTCCTGAGTGCCTTAGTGACGTACAGCAAGTGTACTGTATGCCTAGAGAGAGGGCACTTGGACATTGTTGGATGTATATGGTACATCATTATTAAAAAAAACCTATTAAAAATACCTTTGAAAGGGACATGATTTTCTTTTCCATTCTGTGTTTCTTGCCTTGTCAATATTTTTGAAGTATTGCAATCCTGAGCTTGGTGTTCCAAACTCCAGAGGGGGTTGTGGATCTTTTGTTACTGTGTTTCAGGAAAAAAGTTTTGACTGACTGGAGGGGATGTAGGGGTGTGTACGAAGTGTCTACGTGACATAAGGAGTAAGAAGGTGTCCAGGAGAGGACAGTGTGACCAAGTGCTTCCTTGGGCACTGAAGCCTGTTCCTCTGTCTCTTCCCCTCTCCCTTCTCAGTGACACCCTTGACGGTCAGCGGAAAGCCAAACCCTGAGCTGTCGACCTCCCCCGGCTGTGATCTGCAGTCCAGCCACAGCACATTCTCACAATTTGTTTCAAGTACAGCAAAACCATTCAAGCTAAATAAAAGCATGTTGTTTTTACTCCCCAAACTAAGTGTCTTCCAATTTCACCTCTGCATAAGCACAAAAAGAATATATTGGAGATGTGTAGTCAAGGGTGGATGCATCTTTCAGCCCTAGCCAGATCATCTCTACTGGATTAACTATTTATGAGGCACTTCAGTTCTGTGTCTTTAAGCGGCCCGTTGTTCTAGTACTTTAATCACATCTTGTCCATAGCTGGGGAATTTTTTTTAATTTTTTTTTAACTTTTCTGACTCTGAGGAAAAACTTCTCAAGTGCAGAATATGGGAAATTAAATCTGTAGGTGGTTTAGAGTTGGCTTTTACTTTGGGATTTTGTTTCACTATTTCTTAAGGTGCCAGTGAAACTTGTTATTAATAAAGATGGGTTGAGGATTGCTTATCAGTATGTTAGATGATCTTGACAACATCAGAATTAAACATAAACTCCAAATCAGTAGTAATATATATGAAATGTGACTAAATTAAATAACTGTCTCCTCTTTCAAACTAGAGAAACAACTGATGTATTAGTTTTTTTAATCTGTATTGCTATGTTGTAACACAAGTCAGAAATGTTACTGCTATACCAGCTGATTAGCAGGTTGCTGAGGAGAACCTGTAAACTTTTGGTCTTGCTATATTTTTTTCTCCCAATCCTGGTTTAAAGTGAAATAATTTATTTTTTTGAAAGAATAGAATTATTGTAGATATATAAATCTTTAACATTAAAGAAAAAAGACTTTTTAAAAAGACAAGAAGAAAGAAGCAACCCAGCCTCTTCCTTGAGAGTCCGTTACTAAAACGGGAGCTGGAGAAGGTGAATGGTATCAGGTCCTGCTATAGATTGCTTAGTTACTGCAGGGGCTTTCTGCTCCTACCTGGCATGAGCGGGCCCTGGGGGGGGGTGTCAGATGTGTGTTCTCTCTAGCAGAAGAGAAATAGCAGAAACCGTATTTTTGTAGGTAAAGGGTTTGTCCTGGTTTAAATTCCTGAGCAGAATCATTGTGAAGCGAGACGGGTGCTTGGGGAGAGGGTAGAGTGAAGGGTCGGTGCAGGAGGATACAGGGAGGGGAGGTGGAGAGCAAGAGCTCTCCCCTTCGGTGCCCATTAGACATGGCTGTCGTTACAGGGACTTACTGCACAGGAAAGTCATCATCACCTGCGCTCGCAGGTGTAGTTTGTTGTCATTTCCCAAGACTTCCTCAAGAGGCAAATACTGGTGCTCTAAAATTCTATTCTGCAATTCCAGTGCCCAGAAAGAGGGTGCGTAAGGCAAAGTTTAAGATCTGACAAGCTGTATAAAATGAGATTGCGCACCCGCTGCTGCTGCATCCAGCCTCCTGCGGCCCCGTGAGGAAATGGCTGAGGATTGAATGTGCTGGTCCTGTGTCCTGTGAACTTTGGTGCTGTCAGTGCGCTATCCATCACAACCATCCGCGGTTCTTATTTTAAAATACCAACTCTACATTTTGCCTTTGTTACGGACACCAAAGAATCTGCCAGTGCCAATTGTCAACAGTTCTTCGTTTTCTGTAAAGCTGTTTTGTTTCATCGTCTTCTAGGTGTTCTCAGTGTAGTTTCACATGATGATAAACACTGTTCTAAACTGGCTGATGAGAGAGGGCGTTCAGATGATTTTTGATCTGATAAAATAGGCAAGAGAGGAGAGTTCTGCCACTGAGTCAATGCTGTAGAGCCCGCTGTGGGAAAGCAGAGCATCTCCCCACAGCGGGGAATGGAGCAACTGAGTTTTTGCAGGCAGCAATATTGTCTGACTCTGTTGAAGCCCCCACCATGAGACAATGCTATTACTTATTTAGCATTTTATCCAACATGTGCATTATAGCGAAGTCAGCAGTACGCTTCCAAATTGTTGTTTGGCTACAAGTTATGGTTTTGCTGAAAACAAGAGTTTGCACTATTTCTGTATTTATTATTTAATCCTAAAATGTTCACACTTAGTAAATAAAGTAAAACTAACAGCTACACCGCTTTCTTTGAAAAACATTACAGGGGTAATATTTACTTGTCCAGCTCGCCTCATAGCCAGTAGTTTAAGAATTGTTTTAGTTTGAACCTTAGCTAAAAAGTTTTGATTCAAGTATGGGTTTTGCTGCCTTGGATTATAAATTCCCAACTAAATCTGTGCTTTTCCTGAATTCCTGAGTTGTGACTGCCATCGGTATTGTCTCGTGTACGGCCTGTTTGTGTAGAAACCTAGAAGTGGGTTGAAATGGAAGACTCGGGTAAACATAAATCCTGTTTTATATCGTTGTCCGATTATGTTCTTACAAGGTGTGTATTTCTTTAAAGACCATTTAGGTGCGTTGCACAGACGGGCATTTGGTTCAGCTGAGGGAAACGGTTGGCTCGAGCCCTTTGGTAACGAATTACGACTATTCGTTAGTTTTGAACTAAGGCAGGGAACAGAATAAACAGCAGCGATGAATACGGGAGCGTTCCAAAGTTGTTTTTCCTCTTCATCTAGCGGCCCGAGATGCGACCGGGGCCCTGCCCGGTAGCTCGTTTCAGGCTCAGCGGAGGCGTGCCCCAGCTTTGAAGAGTGAGGCTCATGGCCGGTTCGCTTTAAACGCCAACCCGAGGGAGCTGGGCGCTAGGAACGGCGGCCAGCGCTTACCGGAGCCTGCCTTTCAAGCTGCCCGAGCGGAGGAGCGTTACCGCGCCTGGGTCTGAA